CTGGCTGGCTCTCCCTGGACCTCTACCCCCCCTTCACTAGGCAACTCTTTCAATCTATAAAGAACCACAGGAACAGATTCCTACTCATCAACTCACCAAGTGTATCTTCAGTCCTCCGAGGGAACTTGAGATCCCACACAGAGAGGCTGGACAATCTTGGGGCAGGCTGGGCTCAAGTCAAAGCCTTTTTAGACCCTTTCTCATTGCTTATTTCTAGGGAGCTAGAGTTGGGACTAGGATAGGCTCTGTCAGTGAGACAGCAAAGGAAAGGAGCATATTTCTATAATGATACACGATTTCCACCCCATGATAATGAGAAAATGATAGCACCCGAGCAAAGATAGTGTCAGTGCCAAGAAAAATTGTCAGAATTTGGTGACAAACCTTTTACCTGTTTGTCTTATGTTATTCAGGGAATTAGAGACAAAACTAAAATATAAAATTCTCACTTTTAAAGAAATTCTGCCCTGCGTATTTCCCTAATTTTAAGGTAACTTAGGGTTCATGAGTTCTTTAATCAGACTGCGCTCTTAAAAACTGCAAGAAAGCAGCAGCATGGAGTGAGCTTGAGTCCTGGTTAAACTTCAGAGAAAAGAAATAGGTCATTATGCTGTACTTGAAGGAGAAAAGTCAGGACGTTGGTGCATTTAGAAAGTAGCTTGGGGTACCACTGTATGGAGAGGAAGAAGAAATAGAGAAGGAGCCATTTCATGGGTTTGTTTGCACTCTGCTTTCAGAATTGTGTTTCTTTTTTTCTCCTTCTGCCTTTCAGCTAGGCCTGTTCCTGCTGGTTGTTTAAGGTTCAGCTTAACCCTCATCTCCTTCTGAGATTTGCCTCAGTACGGTTGGAAACTTTGTCCTTTGGACTCTCACTGTTGTTTCTGTGCACATTTTGCATTGAATATTTGTATCTATCTATCTATCTATCTATCTATCTATCTATCTATCTATCTATCTATCTTCCTCTCCTGAAACAGGGTCTCACTATGTAGCTCTGGCTCTCCTGGAACTCACTATGTAGACCAGGCTGGCTTTGAACTCACAGAGATTCTATTATCTCTGCCTCCCAGTGCTGGGATTAAAGGCATATGTTATTTTAAACAAAATCTCAAATGTTCAGTTTTACCTATTAAGACTTGGGAGCCAGATGCTGGAGTGAAAGCCTGTTAGCTCAGAGAGGCAGAGAAAGCACCCAGCTGACCTTCCTACTCAGTCAACATCTCCCAAAAGAAAAGGGAGCTCTCCTTCTTCATGCCAAAAACTCTCAAACTGAACGTCTCTCCTTTCTACTTCCTGTGTATCTCTGTCCATCCTCCTGATTTCCTCTTATTCTCTCAATATTTTTTCGTATGTTTACTTCCTGTCACCTGTTCTTGATCTAGGGTTAACTTTATTTAATCCTTTTTACAATACTTAAGCTGAAAGCTCTTGGATGAAAGGTGGTCCCAGGGCTGAGCCACACAAATAGAAACAGGTTTCTATTTGTTTTTTTTTCCAGTAAACAACACAATCTTGGGGTTCACAGTGTGATCAAATACCCTGCAACAGGTGTGTGCCACCATGCCCAGCTTGCATTGATTTGTCCATAGCTAGAAATAGCCCACAGTCAGTGTCCGCCGACCCCCATCTTTCTGCTCCTCTCTTCCCCAGCACTACAGCTCAAAGCCAGGGCCTCATGCAGGCTCTAGCCCTAAACTCACTCCTAGACTTCAAACCATCAATTTCTTGAAATAAGGAAAGCAGGCTCCTTTTATGCTTTTCTAAATTTGCCTGTTGCCCAGCTTGTTACTAAGAACTAGAGATATTTTTTATTCATTCTGTCCTTTCTCCAAAGTATACATCCATAATAAAGTTTACCAAACTGTTCAGGTTGTTTCATTAAAGCTTGTGGTTCAAACAAAAGCTGCTGGGGGATCAAAATAATATAGAATGGAATGGAATAATATAGAAGAGAATAATATAGAATAGAATGGAATAATATAGAAGAAATATGTTATCAATTACAAATCATATAGACAAAATATTCAAAAGGATGATGAGGTAAATTTGAAAAACTTCGTTGAATCATTTGGTATATACCATGCTAGTAAGAATTAAAACAAAACGTAAACATTAAATGGAGTTTTGCTTAAGGCAGCATTCCCTTGCTGTGGTATGGACACTGACCTTTCTAAGAAGTAGTTTGAATACCTATTTCCTGCGATTTATAGCATATCTTGTTGAAAACAACTATTTGGATGTCATTTGAAAAGATAATCTATTACCCAGTGAGTAGGCATTTTCTCAATTCAGCTCAATAATTTCTTCCTCCTCCTCCTCCTCCTCCTCCTCCTCCTCCTCCTCCTTCCTCTTCTTCTTCTTCTTCTTCTTCTTCTTCTTCTTCTTCTTCTTCTTCTTCTTCTTCTTCTTCTTCTTCTT